AGGCCTAGGAAGTATATTCCTGTATTTGAGAGAAATATTCATTTATCCATGCAGATACTAAGAATAAAGCAAAATTAAACTGTATTAGCTTTCTCTTCTGTCCTAGAGCTTTTTTGGTATTGAGCTCCAATTGTTGAATGACCATTTTCTGAACTGTCTTGAGGTAGAGGAAGCATTGAATCAAACACCGTGTGCTGCCCTGAAAATCCTATGTCCTCATTCTATTCATCCCTCCTTCCCTCTCTCCTTCCCTCAGCCTCTGGCAGCCACTGAAATTTCTACCGTCTGAATAGCTTTGCCTCTCACAGAATGTCCAGCAGTTAGAAACATTGAGTATATAGCCTTTTCAAATTGGCTTCTTTTTTTCACTTAGGCATATGCATTTATCTCCTACTAAGGGACATCTTGGTTTCTTCCAGGGTTTGGCAATTATGAATAAAGCTGCTATAAACACTTGCCCCAAATCAGTCAAGTATGACATAGTGATACCACTTTCACATATTAGAAACCAACATATTTTCCCCTAGGTGGCTAATATATATTAGATTCATATATATATATATATATATACACACACACACATACACACACACATATATACATACACATGTATATATACATATATATGTAGGCTTCTAATATATATTAGTTTCTAATACACACACACACACAAACTCTAAGAAAAAGTCAGGTAATATATTTATGTAAATTGGAATTCTGTTTCAACATGCCAAACAGTTGATTTCACATAACTTGCCAGTAAATCAGTAGCACCATTTAGGACAATTACCTAATCTGTGCAAAGTGATTTGGGCAGAATATTGGTTAGAAAAGATCAAATCATGCTAGGTATTTTTAAAAACATTAGTATTTTAAAGATAATTCACTCAAAACTTGGTTTGTATTTAAGCAAAAAAAGGAAAGGAAAGAAAGCTGAGTTCTACTGTGTGTTAAGTGATATGATAGTATATTTTCTCATTGTTTCCTTAAGGCATGGTGACTGGTGGGCATTTTCCACACATACAGGGTAGAAGTGAGGATTTGTCAAAATCTAAATCCCAACTAAGTAGTGTACATAGGATTCAAGGTTCTTGTCTGCCTTACTACCGACATTCTTTCCTTTATATCACACTACCTCTTCAAGGCTGGTGCCCATAACATCGATAACTATGTTCCTTATGGTCCTTCCTAGTGCTAGAAAAATGCTAAAGAAGAAATGTGTGAAGCAGAAGGAGCTCAGATCTATTAAGAGTAGAATTATCCTTCATTAGCAGCTTCCCTATCCAAATATATCATGTATTCTAGCCTCAGCAGCTTAATGCAATTAAGGACTGGCATAGGAGATTTCTTATAGTCAAAACTCAACCTTGTCCCACTCTCTTAAAGCCAAGAGGTCTAAGAAATACTTAAGGATTATCTGAGAGAGGGATATGAATAAATAGAGATCCCATAACTGTCCTCCAATATTTGACTTTTTTTTTTTTTGTCAGTCGTGGGCCTTGAACTCTGGGTCTGAGCGCTGTCCCTCAGCTCTTCAGCTCAAGGCTAGTGCTCTACCACTTGAGCTGCAATGCCACTTCCTGTTTTCTGGTGGTTTATTAGAGATAAGAGTTTCACGGACTTTCCTGCTCAGGCTGGCTTTGAACCTCGATCCTCAGATCTCAGCCTCCTGAGTAGCTAGGATTACAGGCGTGAGCCACTGGCGCCCAGCCAGTATTTGACTTTCTTTTTTTTTTTTTAATTTAATTTAATTTTATTTGTGAACATACTGTACAGAGGGGTTACAATTGCATGGGCAGGATAATGCGTACATTTCTTACCAAGCATTGCAGCCTCCTCCTTTGTTTACCCTTCCCCTCCCTTCCCAGCCTCCCCCCTACCCCCCATCCCAATCCTTCTCCTAAGTATTTGACTTTCTTATGTGAGAGGAACTAGTTCTATTTGACAGTGGGGAGAGACTGAGGCAAATGTTGTCTTAGCAACAGGAAGGACTTTAAAGAGCATGGGCTGAAAGGCCACTTAGCCAGGATGTTGGGGCTCACAAATAGTTGGTCATGCTTGGGGTGGGCGGCTTGGGTGATCTTTCAGGTTTTTAGGCTTTCTAGGTGGCTTTATTATCAGATACCCATGGATGCAATAGTGTGTTTAAATCTTTTGTCTAAATAAACTTAGAATGAAGTTAGAAATAGTAAGACACTCCTGTTGCAGAATATCCTTGACATTTGGGATCCACAGTTACTATAACCGTGGTCTCCATGATTGGCCTCAAGGGGCTGGGTGTGACTAATGTCCTCCATCCTCGGAGTAGTTACATCTAAGAACATTACTGCTTGGGGATCTAGTCTTCTAAATCCTATGTTAAATGATTGTGGATGAATTTTAAACCTTACAATGATAGATAATGACTACATGAGTTTCTTTTTGCTTAATTTTTTTCCCTGCTTATTTTCACACTACAGCCTTAACAATACATTCTGAACCAAACAGTGCACATTCTGCCAAATGAAACCTTTAAATAGGAATCGCCTAGTTGAGTTGAAAGCCTTGCTTAACAGCAGGGCAAAAGAAAGCCAGTGGAATTGATTTGGGAAAGTGGCAGCCAGCTGAGTACCATGTTAATTTCATTTGGAAGAATAAACATGTCAGTGAGGAGGCTGTTCCCCTAGGGACCTACTGCAGTGGTCATGTGAATCCCATGGGGTGAGGGAGGTGATTAATGGGGTATGAAATGCAGTGAGCTCCCAGCAGGGCTCATCACCCTCCTCCTGAGGCTGCTCTCCTGTGGCTCAGTATGCTTTGGTCTGTGGCTCAGTATGCTTTGGTCAATCCCTCATTCATAGAATCAAGCATTGTTCCAGCAACAAGCTAAAGCATCCTGCCAGAGCTGCTGCTCCTAATTCAAGGGATCACAGTCATCTACTGTCATCCTTGTGTATCTCTTTCAGCATCATCTCCATTTTTGCCATCATAGCATTTAATACTGATTACATGCTGTGCACTGAGTTCAGAGCTTTACTTGAATTATTTTATGTAATCCTTTTAACAATCTATTAAGTAAATGCTATTGGTTTCTATTGGTATCCCCATTTAGGGGCACATTATTTACTTATCCAAGATCATGGAGTAAATAAACAATGGAACCCTCTCTTCGGGTGATGGAAGAATATCATAGTGTGTGTTTGTGTGTGAGAGGATGACAGAGACAGAGTCCAAGACCAAGAGTCAGAGACAGAGCACGCACAAATTGCTTCTTTGTATTAGGACCTTGAAAAGATTCTCTAAGTCTGTCACTAAATGCCACAGACTCAAACAAGTTCAGTGGCAACATATAGAGTTCTTGCTGTTAAGTGAAGGGAGTAAGTCAATAATGCGTATTTAGTTTCTGGGTTACTAAATAGGCCACTCTTGGATAACAATACCTCTGAAAATGCAAGCCTGTGGGAATTCAATAATATGGCAGGTGATTTGAGAAGCAGTGTATCTCAGTTTCTTCCTTCTTCCTGCCCTTCTATCATAAAATATAATGGAAGAATTAGAAAGATATTATTCAGATGTGCTAACCTTGCTTAGTACTATAGCACATGACATTCTCTCATCCCCAGGAAGTGACTTGTGCATTATGTAATCCAAAACCTGATAGGTTTTTTTCCCCCCATATAAATGGTTTTTAAATTGTTTAGGAATTTGAGTGCCTGATATTGCTAAGTTCTCTTTGTACCTGAATGTTATCTGAATGTTCTCAGACAGTGAGTAGAATAGCTGAATGCTGAGATTCTTGTCCTGTAGCCAGAGGGACCAACAAGGAAGAAGGATAGGAAACACCTTAGTTTAGAATAATTTGAAACTTACTGAAAAGTTGCCTTTTTAATATTGTGTCACACTTATACTCTTTCTTTATAAGTATACTTTTATCATATACTCATTCTTTATATACTCTTTCTATTTATAAGCATACTTTTGTATGATTCATGGTTCGTTCTTCATGGTTTTATACTTTAGGTTATATTTCCTTCAAATAGGGATGTTCTGTATGAGACCCAAAGTAGTTATCAAATTTAAGACATTTAGCATTGAACCAATACTGTTATCTATTCAAATGCTCATATTCATAGTCAAATGTCATCAAATTCTGAAGAATGCCTTTGAAGACCATTTCCCTTTGAGAACAGGTTCTGGCCTGGGGTTCGTTTATACACCGCATTTCATCATCCTGTCTCCTTAGCCTCCTTTAATTGGGAACAGTTCTTTAGCCTTTTTTTCTTCCTTATAAAACTGGGATTTTGATAAATATAGGCCAGTTGTTTCCTTCTGATCAAATTCAGATTCTACCCCTGGCTGGCAAGTCAACAAAGAAAATGTCATGTCTTTTCCAATGTATTATACCCAAAGGCACAAGAGTCCACTGACTGTCACTTGTCATTAATTTTGATCACCTGGTTAAGGTTCTGTGTTGTTTTTCTGCTGTATTGTTACCAATTTCCTCCTGAAAAAAAAAAGGCATTGTTATCCATTATCCATTCTTATCCATTTCCAGTCTTTGAGGGTACAGACACTAACTGTTGATTATTTTGAATCCATAAGTCGGAAAAATATAAAACATTATAGTGGGCAGGGCCTTAGGATTGGCAATGTGTGTGAGTTTTAGTACGCTTTATTTTTTAAGCACTTTTAGGCCCTGACCAAAATTGCACATAAAGTATAGGATCCCACAAAACCCCCTAGACCCCACACTGTCAATATCCTATACCAATGTAGTTCATGTTACAGTTTTTTTTAAGCACTTACATAGACATGCCATTATTATCCAGAACATGTATTTTGTACTGATCTCGAAATTTTTTATAAGAAATAGGATTTGCTAAAATCGTTTTCAATTTTCTTTGTTTAAATGAGATGTAAAGAGGGGTTCTAAATTCTTTTTAAAAGCAGTAGAATTTTCTGTGTTGTTTTTAATTATGCCTCTTTTTAAATTTTTTCTTGTAATGATTGTATCTTTATAGTTTACTTCGCCTTAAGGTCAGCTTTTAATAGCATATCAACGGAGAGAGAAAGACTGAAGCAGCTGATGGAGCAGGACGCCTCCTCCTCCCCTTCTGCTCAGGTCATTGGTCTGAAGCACACACTGTCATCTGTGAGTTACGTGTCCATGTCACAAGAATGCCTGCCAATGTATCTGGGCTTATGAATTGCTTACGTTTTCCAGCCCCATAATTGTGTTCAAAATTCATAACTTTCATGGTTGAGTTGAAAAAAATTAGGAGAAAACAAAACAACAAATGGTCCAAATTATGTCCTAACTTTTTATCAGAGACAACAAAGCTGTGAAAGAGCCTACCCAAATCTTAGTAGCTAATATTTTTTTAAATGATACATTCTTTAAGTTTGATTTCCTCCAATGTCTTACATTTTTGGTCCTTATAAAACTTTGACTCTGTGTGTATCTTAATAGATGTTTTTTGTAAATGCTTACAAAATCTGGGTGATTTTTGTGGACCTGAGACATCACAAACTTGGATCAATTTCATATGTGACAAGTGGCAGAGAGAAATTTCCAATTTATACTCTTGTGCAGAGCACTGACCCTATACTCTGCTCTTTCTTTTTTTTCTTTTCTTTTCTTTTTTTTTTTTTTTTTTTTTGTCGGTGTGGGACTTGAACTCTGGGTCTGAGCACTGTCCTCAGATCTTCAGGTCAAGGCTAGTGCTCTACCACTTGAACCACAATGCCACTTCCAGCTTTTTTTCTTTTTGCTTATGTGGTGCTGAGGAATCGAACCCAGAGCCTCATGCATGCAAGGCAAGCACTCTGCCACTGAGCCACCTTCCCAGCCCATACTCTGCTCTTTCAAAGACACAAAAGTTGGTTTATTTTATTACAACTAGTACAAAAAATGTTAGCTTTTTTGTCCTACCATGAGTACCAAGAATGAGTCACACAAGTGTCAGTTAATCATTGGGCCATAACAACAGATAAATCAGTGCCCTAGCCTCAAGTGTAAGCCATTCATTCTGCTTCTAAACCTGTTTGTTCTCCAAAGCATATAGGCTCACTCTGTTGATGTGCTCTGTCCTAGTCTTATTTGAATAGCTAGAATTGTCTAGCAGTTAACCATTTATCAAGAAACTAGAGAACTTTCAAATTAGCATACTTATTACTTTTTGCTTGTACTTTGGGATTCCTACTTTAAAAAGAGAAAGAGCTGAAAGCCAGTAGTCACACTGGTAATTCTAGCTACATTGGAGGCTGAGATCTGAGGATCTTGATTCAAGGCTAGTCTAGGTAGAGAAGTCCCTGAAACCCTTATCTCTAACTAATTACAAAAAACCTAGATGTAGACCTGTGGCTCAAGTGGTAGAACAGAGTAAAAAGCCCAAGGACAGCACCTAGACCCTGAGTTCAAGACCCAGGACCAGTGCACACATGTATACATACAGAGAGAGAGAAAGAGAGAGAGAGAGAGAGAAACTATTATGTTGCTTGTATTTTTTTCTTCTTCTTTTCTTCCTCCCTTCTTTTTTAGTAAGCCTAAGGTTTGAATCAGGGCCTCACACTTGCCATGTAGATGCTCTACCATTTGAGTCACATATAGCCTGGTAATGTTGCCTTAAGGTTAGAGAGAGAAACACATCCTTTTGAATTACAGTGAACAGCCAACTGAATACTGAGTTACTACTTTGGCCTGACTGAAACAAAGTAGTTTTGTTTTTTTTTAATTTTGAGTTTATTTCTTAGTGGTGTAAGGCATTTCTTATTGCTCTCATTAAGATGGCTTTTAATACATTTGGAAGATACCTCTAAAGGGCCCCTAGTTCCTTTTCCTTCCCACTCCCTCCTCTCATGGAGATCATCTGGCCTCATCTTGTGGATCTGCTTGTGTGGCAGAGAGACCTATTTGGCCTTGGCGTTCTGGGCCACAGAATGAAGTCACCCTCATAGTGATAAAGGTAGTGATCAGGACTTAAATAGAATAGTCCTTTCCTTTTTTGCTTGGATTCAGGTCTCTGCAAGACTAGTTTTTTTTTTTACAGATAAAAAATTGCAAAATAATCTCATCTATCAGAATGATTATCCTAGGGCTGTATGTGAAGTCTTGGTATGTTCTTACTTATACATGTTGTCCACAAAAGAAAGAGAAGCTACTAAAATAGCACAATCTTCAGGTTAGAAGATTCTAGTCACCCAAAGACACTGTTATACATGGTTGCATAACCCTAATCTTAGTTCTTATTCATTGTTTCTTAAATGATCCTTGAGGATTTTTTAGGGAGGGAAGGAGGGAACTGATTTTGGGGCTTGAACTCAGGGCCTGGGCACTGTCCTTGAGCTTTTTTAGCTCAAAGGTTGTGCTCTACCACTTGAGCCACAGTACTACTTCTGGCTTTTTGAGAGTAGTTTTATTGGAGGTAAGAGTCCCATAGTTTCCTGCCTGAGCTGGCTTTGAACCATGATCCTCAGATTTTAGCTCCTGAGTAGCTAGGATTATAGGCATGAGCCATCAGCACCCATCAAGGATTTTTGAAATAATGCATAGCTTCTGTGGAAACTACATAGTAAAACTAGATCCTTATTGGAGAACCAGGCCATGGATTAAGCAATACCATGTTCTTCTAGGCTCTCACCAGGTAGGCACTGCAGATCCTGATGGATAGGAAAGGCTCTGAGCTTCTTGGAAGAGAGTCAGGAAGACAGATGGAGAAGGATCTGTGTACAAGCACCCTGAGAGCTGATTGGGGAGTTGTAATCAGAGAATTCTATTCCCTTTCAAAGACAAACCATTTGGAAAAGAGAAGGTTATAAAGTACATAGGACTATTATCAAAGAGGAAATACATCCTTTACTTTTGACCAGTTTCTCACAGATGAGAGTAAGATGACAGATGGGACCTGCTCAGGGGAAAATAAAAGAGTTCTGGGAGTGTGGGGGGGAAGTATGTCCATTAGGGCCAAGGCCCTTAAGCCTTTATGCAGGCAAGTGAGATTTGTTTCATTCCTAAAGAATAAATGCAATAACTAATACCTGTATTAGAAGAGTGAGATTATCTTTCCACAAAATCTGACTTCACAGAGCTCTTCAAGACCCAGTTCAACTGGTGTGATAATGAAATCATATTGAAATATGTTCAGTCATAAGGTGGAGGCAGCATCTTTTCAAAGATGAAAAAAAGCTTGGAATCTTGAGGGAGGGGAAGTTGGCAAAGAGACCAAAGATGGTTGGGCACCTGGAATTGATTCTGGGAGGACCCTGGAGATCTTTCATAAAAACTTGTGGTGGGGCTGGAGGCATAGCTCAGGTTTTAGAGCACCAGCTGAAAAAGTAAGTTGAATGATCACACGGCCCTGAGTTTAAGAACCAATACCTCCAAAATAAACATAAGTAAAAGCTGGCAGTATTTACAACTTCCTCCTTTCACCCTGTATTAACCCTCCTTCCATCTCTGGAGATAAGATTTAGCAAAGGAGTATCATTTCCAGACTTTTCCATTTGTGATCTCCGCAGCCTCCTGGAGAGGAGCGGGAAAAGCCCAAAAGAGTCCTCAGGTGTGTCACTCAGAGTTCCATCACTTGCTATAGATCACCTCTGCTGAGCCCCCCCGCCCCCCGCTGTGCTTTCCTGAACTTTTCATATATTAACAAAGCCATGCTATTTTTTTTTAACATATTTCAGGCACTAGCACAAAACACAGATCTTAAAGAACGCTTACGCAGAATCCATGCTGAATCTCTGCTCCTCGACCCGCCCGCTGTTCCCAAGTTGGGTGACAATCTGGCAGAGGTGGGTAGGTTTCTTCCCTGCTAACCATCTCTACGATTGCTACTCCTCCATGTGACACCCTCTGTCCAATTGCATGGGCTCCCTGCATCATCAGCTGAAGTGGCATTTGCCTCTCCTCCACCTCCTCTGGGAGCAGCTGTGGCTGGGAGCTATGGACAGGGCCCTCAGGGTTCAGAGGCTTTCCTGCTGCTGCTATTGTACATTTGTAACCTTCTTCCCCTGGCCCCTTGAAATCTTTTTTATTTATTTATCTTATTTCACTTCTAAGTGTCACTCTACTCATTATGTATTACTGGAGTAATAGACAAGCATTTCCTCTGATTATCCCTGATAAAACCTACATTTCTGTGACCTGCAATATCCAAGTCCTTGCCATCTTCCCTTTCTCACCTGGTAAAAATAATGCTATATTCTCCTTGTGCTTATTCTCTTCCTCTCTTCATCTGACTTTTCTTTTTCAGAACACAACTTCGCGTGAGAAAGGAGAACATTGTATTGAAATCTCTTGGTCAGTAAAAAGTCTTTCTGCAAGACTTGGGATGTAGCCAGTTTCCAGTGGCTTATACCTGTAATCCTAGCTACTCAGGAAGCTGAGATCTGAGAATCGCAGTTCAAAGGCAGCATTGGCAGCAAAGTCCCTGAAATACTTATCTCCAATTAACTACCAAAAAGCCAGAAATGGAGGTGTGGCTCAGTGGTAGAGTGACAGCCTTGAGTAAAAAAGCTAAGAGATAGTGTCTAGGTCCTGAGGTCAAGCCCCCAGTATTAGCTCTAAACCAGAAAAAAAAAGAAAAAGAAGAAGGAAAGACAATGAAGGTAAAAACTGTTTTTAGCTATCACATGTATATACCTACCTCCGATTTGCTAAAATTTTCATTAACAAATTATTAGGCTGGGTAGATAAGGGAGATAATAAAGGGAATGTGTATACCCATAATTTTTTAAATGATTAATCATAATTCTTTTCCTGTCCTCAAAGCAAATGAAGCCTGAGACTGAGCTCCTTCACTGCTTGGGTTGCTCCTGGATTGGGTGATGAGGAGAGCTGAGGCTGGTGCCAGTTGGGACACAGACACTCTGGGTCGGTGTCTGCCCCATTAAGCAGCACAGGCTGTGCCATATGAGTCAAGCCATCTCACCTGACTGGGGGCAGAGCCTGTCTCTGTTCTGAAGGCAAGATTGTGGCTAAGAAATTTCTCAACACACACATATTCCCCAACAGAGCATCCCTAAACCATCACTTGGGATTGAGCATCTATACACTAGTCGTTGTCTTTTAAGCCTTGGCCAAGACATGTGCTCCCTAGGAGCCCCTGTGTTAAATCTGTACATTTGCTAAAGCTAAGCTTAGTCAGAGCTGTGCCAGGCTATTGCTGGTGGTCATCTGTTGTACATCACCATAGAATTCTCCAGTTTATGCTCATTCCAGAAAATACTTTACTTTTTACATTGCATTATCATATAAATTACATTTATATATTCTGTGATTTGTTAAATATTCTTCATGTATGCCTTTTATTTGTACTCACTCAGCATGTATACTAAAGGCTGTTGTGTTTTGAGAAGGAAGCTATGACCCCCAAGTTTTGAAAAGTACATTTATTATTTATTTTTTAATTTTGGTAATGGAGCTTGAACTCAGAGTTAGTACTGTCCCTTATCCTTTTTTTTTTTTTTTTGTTGAAAGCTAATGCTCTATTATAGTTTTGTTTCCAGCTTTTTGGTGATTAATTGGAGATAAAACTCTCTTGCACTTGCCTGCTTGGGCTGGCTTCAAACTAGGATCCTCAGATCTCAACCTCCAGAGTGGCCACTGGTACTTGGCTTTGAAAAGTGCATATTTTTAAACTGATCTCAAAAATATTGCCCCAAAAGCTGGTATATTATTGTTGAGGGATGGCAGCTATATTCTTCTAGCTCCACTTTCCAGAACAGCCTTTCTGAGTCTGAATCAGTGGTGTAATCATCTCATTCATTTCCTCTTTCAGATTTTTTCTGTTTCCCATGGTTCATCCCTTTTTATTCACTGAATGACTCAGGCGAACTTCCCAGCAATGGAAAACCCATTGTTACCTTCAGGAAATAACTGGAATAGATGGAAAGGCCACCCAGACTGAAAACTTGACAGCAGATTACCTCTTAAAGGAATCAGTCAGACACTCCAAATTCTTCAAGGAAATGACAGCCTCCAATATGGCCCAAGGACTCTGGTTTTAGAACCCTCCAGCATCCTTGCTTACTTTCTATTATCTTGTAGTTACACTATTGAATCATCTCTGGTGTTGTGCTGAATAGTTAAACTCTAAAATCCATTCCTATCAGAAATTACGCCCACAGTTTATCAAGTCCCTTTTTACTTTATATTTCTGAATCAAACGTTTAATATGAAATTATCTTTTCTTAAGATTATTTTATGTTATCATAGATTCCAAATGAAAGGCCAAATACTTTTTAATACAGATAACATCTTTCTGCATTTTTGTCTATTAAAGAAACTGAAAAAGCAAGAAAATTAAAAATCTGAAAGTGAATATGCGAGCTTTATTATTTTAGCTTGTGTGCTTTTGCCTTTCCAGCAGTTCTAGGAGATAGATACCTCAAAAATTCTGAACCTTGACTCTATAAAGTAAGTGGTAGGGATTTCATGGAAATCCCAGAGGAAAGTAACCCTTAGAGAGGCTAAAAATTGGACACACAGACACACAGCTTATAAGAGACAAGCCAGGGATTTAAATCTGCATTTAATGAGACCAGAGCATATGTTTGCTCAGTACTGTCATACCATTATATAGTGAAGGTATTCTAAGCCAGAAAACAGCTTAAAAAAACTCCCATAGTTGGGGCTGGGAAGGTAGCTTAATGGTAGAGTGCTGGGTTCGATTCCTCAGTACCACATACACAAAAGAAAAAAAAAAGCCAGAAGTGGGTCTGTGGCTCAGATGGTAGAGTGCTAGCCTTGAGCAAAAGAAGCTCAGGGACAGTGCCCAGGCCCTGAATTCAAGTCCCAGGAGCAAAAACAAAAACAGAAACAATATTCCCACAGTTAATTAAAATAAGGTAGTGAGTGATATGGTAAAAATGGCGATGGTCACTTCAGGTATTTCTTTTATGTACAAAAGAAATGGCTTGGTACCAGTGGTTCATGCCTGTAATCGTAGTTACTCAGGAAGCTGAAAAGTGAAGATCAAGATTTGAAGCCAGGCCAGGAAAGTCTAAGAGACTTTGAGCTCTGATGAACCAGCAAAAAGCCAGAAGTGGGGGTGTGGCTCATGTGGTACAGCACCAGCTTGGAGCAGAAAAGCTAAGCAAGAATGTGAAGCTGAATTAAACGCTCAGTATCAGTACCAAGAAAGAAAAAAACAAATGAACAAATATCTTGATAAGGCATCAAAAAAACCAAAGAGAAAGAGATGAATTATTAAATAAAGTACATCAGTGCAGCACAAAGCAATTTGGAAAGAAGTTGAATTATTTCCATTGCATGATAAAATGAGTCCCCAACCAATTCAAGTTAAATATAAAAATTTTAATGGAAAAAATATTGATTTGAGTATTTATCAAACTGCTAGAGCAGAGAAGAGTTCCTAAATTGAAGAGTAATAAAAACATGGCAAAAGAAATGTCAAGTAGATTTGGCATATGTCAAAAACAAAGAAGGCACATACTAAACTCAGAAAAATGATTTTAACATGTAAACAGTGAAAAAATAATACCAAGTAAATGAAGAACTCAACACAAATGGAAAAGTAATGTAATTCTCTCTCTCTCTACACATACAAACACACACACACACACAAACATACAAAATAATTGTAGGATTTTTTTTTTTTAGTTTTAGTTTTCAACTCAGTCATAAATTGTATCACTGCTAGGTATGAATCGGTGCTAGGCTATGTTCTGAGATATTCATTATTTGATGATTTCATTATTGGGTGAACATAAAGTGTACATCCGCAAACCTGGACAGTAAATAGACTGCATACCTGTATACATACCTAGGACATATGGCTGTAGTTTTTAAATATGTTTTTTGGTTTTGTTAGCCTCAGCCTTTACAGTGTTTCAATCCTCAATATTTCTCTTCCTCATCTTGTCCTACTACAAGGCCTTTAGAGGTAACAAGCATGAAATTCTTTCTTCTGGAATTCCTCCTGGAGGACCACTTCAGGTAGGTTAGCTGATTGACAGCTAACTGGCTTTTTTGTATATCCAGCAGGAGCATAATCTAAAATAGTAATAAAAAATTGTGCCGGTGCTGGTGGCTCACGCCTGTAATCCTAGCTACTCAGGAGGCTGAGATCTGAGGATCGCAGTTCAAAGCCAGCCTGGGCAGGAGAGACTATGAGACTCCTATTTCCAATAAACCACCAGAAAAACCGGAAGTGGCGCTGTAGCTCAAGTGGTAGAGCACTCACCTTGAGCTGAAGAGCTGAGGGACAGCGCCCAGGCCCAGAGTTCAAGCCCCACGACCGACCAAAAAAAAAAAAATAGTAATAAAAAATTGTGATTTGGTAAAGACACAGCCCACCAGCACAGTCATATCATTAGCAAGAATTATGAACCTCATGTAATCACATGTGCTGCCCTTTTATAGGACTTGGGTACAGTGGGTTTTGTTACACCAACATCATCACAAACACCAGTCATGCTTTACTCTGCATTGTCATGACCACTATGATATCACTTAGGGATAACAACTTTTCAGCTCTGTTATAACTTTATGAGACCCTTTTACAGATGGCACCTGATTGTGCTTACAAATTCACAATCACCTGATTGTAGTTACGAATTCACAGGAAGGGACAAAGAAGTACGGGGATGTGGGTGCCATATGCCACTAATCCTCGCTCTCCCTATATTAAGACTATATTTGCATTTTTAATAATAGTCAGCCTAATGAAAATGAAAACAATTAGATTAGCACATTTTTCTATAGTATTTATATATTTCTATAGTATTTATTGCTCTTAATAAAACATAGTACTTTTTACATATTATTCAAAGTAAAAATAAAATGAATACATAGATTACTACTTCACACATACACACACACACACACACACACACATAATTCTGCTTGTAGAAAATGATCCTAAAGAACAACGAAATAGAAACAAAGACATAGTTACAAAGATTCCATCTTTGCAAACCTGTAAGCACCCTTAATTTTCAATATTACATATATACAATTAGATATTTACTGATTCATCTACGTTGTTTTAGAGAGTTTGTAACAATCTGGAAAATTGCTTACAGTACATTAGGTGTATGCAGCAGAAAATATACAGATTATATGTAGTTTGGTCCTAATTTTTCTAAATAAAAAGGTGCACAAACATTTAATATACATACACATCAATAGGTTAGTAAGGGCCTTCCGGTAAGCCAATGGAATTTTAAGTGATACTCTATTTACATTTTCTGTATTTTCTATTTTGAATTCACGTGAATTTTTGTTCAGAACATGTTAATATTGAAAAGTTTTGATGCAATGTGGAAAAGTTCATAAAATTACATATAAATAGTATGAGTATAATATAATTACATATTAAAATAAAGTCAAAACTAGATGAATAAAAATATTGGGAAAAAGTGAACTTGTTCAAAATCCGCTAAACAAATGTATGAAATTATCACCATGAAACCCTTGTTAATATACCCTAATACAAAAATAAGTAAAAAAAGAAAAAAGAAAGATTGGAGCCAGGTATGGTGTTACATAACTTTAACCAGCACTCTAGAAGCAAGACAGAAAGACTCCAAGCTTAAGGGAAGCCTGGGCTTCATTGTGGGACTCTGTCCCAAAGACAAAATAAGATTAAAAAAAAAAAAAGTGGGAGAGAAATGTATTATCAGTTTTGGTAGTATGGCAGGATTACGAATTTTTTCCTTCCTTTTTCCATGTTTAACTTTTTGTAAAGTAAACTAGATAGGCAACTACGCCTAAGTTACAAAGCATGAGGGGAAATTGTTAAATGGGATTGTTAATATTTTAATTACTTTTTTATTTATGTCATACTGAGGAATCAAACCCAGGACCTCATGCATGAGAGGCAAACACTTTACCATGAAGCCACATTCCCAGCCTGACTGTTAATAGTTTAACAAATGAGATTTTAAGTTGTCTAGAAATTGTAGCCAGTGGTGGTTAGCCTGTAAAAGGGGGAGGATCCCTAAAACAAAATAAAAAATCTGAAATGCTTTAAAAAATCCCAAACCTTGGGCTGGGAAGGTGGCTCAGTGGTAGAGCACTTGCCTTGCATGCCTGAGGCCCTGGGTTCGATTTCCCAGCACCACATAAGCAAAAAGAAAAAAAGCTGGAAGTGGAGCTGTGGCTCAAGTGGTAGAGCGCTAGCCTTGAGCTGAAGAGCTGAGGGACAGCGCCCAGGCCCAGAGTTCAGGCCCCACGACTGGACCCCCTTCCCTCCCCCCAAAAAATCCCAACCCTTTTTAGTATCAATATGATGCCATAGTGGAAAATTCCACAATTGACTTAATGTGACAGATCACACTCAAACACAAGTACACTAACAATACCATAGAAAAGTAGCTTCAGGATGTGTAAGACATATATGAATGTTTAGATTAGCATTCCATCCCCAGGATACCTTATCTTATATACATGCAAATATTTCAAAAGTCCAAAATGTGGTGCCAGGCATTTCAGATAACTAATCCTCAAGATGTATTATTTTCAGTGTTGACCAACCAGGAAATTCCTACAGATTCATCAGGCCAGGAAGAAGAACAGACAGAGCAGGAATGTGCAGTAATGAATTAATGAACAGCACTAGTAAATAAAGTATTATTTTCTCCCATGGTGAGGCTCAGAGGAGATGGAAGATTCCATTGCTTTAAAGGAGTTCTGCTAATCACCAAGGGTCTTCAAACTCTTTTCAGAGGAGGGAGACCATTCCTTTAAGATGACAGCTGTAATACTTCGTAGATTCTACAATAATCTCTTTATTAGTAACAAGAAAAAGATGACTTTTCAGAAGATTTCATGGATGTTAAAACAGTGGCATCGTTAAACCATTATCTTCCTTGGGAGATTTCTTATTTAGGAAGAATCTAAACAAAGGGATAGACGGTGTGTGCCCAAAGTGAACACTTCATAAAGAGATTCCTAACCCTTTACTTGTTAAGAAATACACAAGAAACCCTTGGGTCCTGATATCCACTCCTTAGGCATATTTTACATGGATGAGACAGCAGTATAGGCTGAACTAAAAATTTCTGGACAAGGCAACACCTGGTTTAAACTCTTGTTCCTCACATTATTCTGAGACTTGCTTATCAGATACATAATTAGAAGCAACTCCTGCTGTAGCTTGGAAAAAGATGAGCTTCTCCTCCGTGTTTAAGGAATCTAGTCATTCTTTCCTAAATCTGTCCTAACCAAGGTCCAGGTCACATCTGTGAAGTCCTCTCCAGAAGTTTCTATGTAGCTAGCCTCACTTTCTTCTCTGCTTCCTCTTTGCTCTTCACACAGTCTTGGTTTAATGTTCATTGAATGTTCTCTGCTCATTCAGGTCAGAAATCTTATTCTACCATATTCTTCCATGACCAGCTGGAGACTATACAAGTTAACCACTTAATGTGTTGAGTCAAATTGAATTTTCACTTGCAAATATAATAGAAAGCTTTCTCTCAGGGAATTCAGGTCCTTCTCAGAGGGCAAGTCTAGATGGAGTGGATTGGAGATAGAGGGCCATCTGTGTTTAGTCAGGAGTGATATTTCATTAAATTCTTCTTATAGAGGCTACGTCAAAGATCAGGGGTCTCCTTCCCTTGCAGAGTCATTGTTGGTGGACAGAGACAGACAAAAAGAGCTCATCTCACTTATACATGAATAATGAATGATCTGCCACAGGGGCACCTTTGGATGAAACACAAGTCTGTTTTTCACGAAATGCCTAACAAGCAGCCTCTGGGAACACATAGAGACAGAAAAAAAGTCTATTCCCCTGGAATCAGCCATGCAAAGACCTGCATTCAGTATAATTCCAAGGAAATTTTAGGGTGAAATAAAAATGTCTTAGCAATAGCAAATAAAGGGATGTGATTCAGAGCACTGGAATTTTCCCTTCTCAAATGGAACAAATACTATCCTGGTTTTGGCTTTGAGATGTGTGGAGTGAGTCTGAACTGTGAAGTGCCTTTTGGGGAGAGAACTTCATTTTTTCTCTTTTTGTTTTGCGTGAGGCCTGCTTCTTCTCAACTTTGGAGCTGACCTGTGCTTTGAGTTGTCTGTTTGCATGGGCTTGTGACCTGTACTTATGCAACTAAATCATTTGTTTATTTTGTTTCTCTTGAGACTGTTTTTAAATAGATGTGGATTTGTTTGTGTTTTTCAAAGGAAAACTCCAGAGATGAAAACCGCGCCCTGGTTCACCAGCTTTCCAATGAGAGCAGGCTCTCCATCACTGACTCCCTTTCAGAGTTTTTTGATGCGCAAGAAGTCTTATTATCTCCAAGCTCTTCAGAGAATGAGGTTTGAAAACTGTTTTTAGTTAGCTGCATCCCAAATCTCTTGTGGCTTTTTTGACCAACCTGTTCAGTAAAGATCTCTGTGTAGAAACACTGAACTCAATGTCCCCTTTCCACACCACCCATTTCATTCTCAGAGTCCTCTCATAAATTATACCCCCAAAACACAAAATGATGTAATATGCTAGACGAAAAAGTTGTACAAATAGTTGAATACCTTCTCATTTGTGTTACTTAGTTTTTATACTTTTTTCAATTACAGATTGAAAGTTCTGACTTGTACTTATTTAAGAATATCATTTTTACGGCTGGGAAGGTGGCTCAGTAGTAGAGCGCTTGCTTTCCATGCATGAGGCCCTGGGTTCAATTCCTCAGCACCACATAAGCAGGAAAAAGTTGGAAGTGGTGCTTTGATAGAGCGCTAGCCTTGAGCTAAAGAGCTCAGGGACAGCGCCTAGGCCCAGAGTTCAGGCCCCACAACCAACAACAACAACAGAGAATACCATTTTTACTACAAAGAAAGAAATTAGCATTCTGTATAACTTATCCATATTATGTGATAAAATTACATATAATTTTAGTATTGCTATAATATGGTTATTGTATTAATTTGTAGCATATAATGTTTTCAGTTGATAATAAAAACTACTTCTGGAATAGGCAAGTAGCATAGCTAGTATTGCTATGTATAAGCATGCATAAATAATTTCACCCCTTGGATATGGAAGTAATATTACTTTTTATTAATTCCTATAGAAAGTCCTTTTTCTCAAAGAAGAATTTTAACTAGTCAACTACTAGCAAACTCTGAAAATGCTGTCTGAATTAATAAGAATTTTTATAATAGAAATCTTGGATTCCACTGCTATTTTTTTCTTTCTTATGAGAATGAATCAAGAATGTATAAATATTTAATGATTGTTGTTTTTCCATGAGTATCACTTGAACAGATTGGCCTATGGACCTCTATGAAAATAGCACTCAGAATTATTTCTATATATTTGTAACATGGAATGCAACGTGGTTGACCATTTAGTGACCCTTGTTTGTTCTTTCTCTAGCATATATTTGTTCTTTCCCACAGATTTCTGATGATGATTCATATGTCAGTGATATAAGTGACAATCTCTCCTTAGACAATCTCAGTAATGATTTGGATAATGAAAGACAGACCTTAGGTAAGCTTACATTTTTTGTTGTTTGTTTTGGTGCTGGTACTGAAGTTTGAATCAGGACTATGTGCTCTTCCTTAGTTTTTTTTTGCTTAAGGCTGGTGTTCTAACACATTAACCCACAGCTCTTTGTGCTGGTTCACTGGAGAAAAAGAGTCTCATGGACTTTTCTGCCCAGGCTGCCTTGGAACCTGGAACCTCAAATCTCAACTCATGATTAACAAGGATTACAAGAGTGAGCCACTAGCACCTGGCTAGATATACATTGTTGGATATCTGAATGTTTGCATCTCACAGTACAATAACAAGCATATATAGAGTTTCTGGTGCATGCAAAGGGAAGGGTAGCAAGGACTACATTAGAAATGTAACACTGTCCCCACACCTTCCAGCTTTTCATAATTTAGATGAGGTGTTGGCACCCACATATGAAAAATACATTCATTCAAATAAATTGGTCTGCTTGTGCAAATACTTATTTTATAGAGAATACACTGATTTTTTTATGAATGTCAAAAATAATTCAACAGCTGTCCCTTCTACAGTCAAACATTCTGCAAATGCATTAGAATATTGCTTTTTTAACCTTTAAATATCAGTTGTTGTAATTTAAGAGTTTTGTAGGGTGTATCTAATAGTCTGATTCAAATGGTAGCTTGATTTTAGATTATTCAAAGTAATGTACTTCTCTCTCCCTCAAGGTATCCATAAGACATTCCTTTATTACTACTTGATACCCAGTGGGAAAATGATGACCACAAAAGATATTTCATAGTGGTAGTTTGAGCTGCAGAGTACCCAGGGTGCTTTGCTACTTTCAAACAGCTTAGGGCTGTGGGAAGTAGACTGTGGGAAGCCTGTTGAGAGGTGCCCTTAAAAAGATTCTATCTGGGGCTGGGAAGGTGGCTCAGTGGTAGAGCACTTGCCTTACATGCCTGAGGCCCTGGGTTCGATTCCTCAGCACCACATAAGCAAAAAGAAAAAAGCCGGAAGTGGCGCTGTGGGTCAAGTGGTAGAGAGCTAGCCTTGAGCTGAAGAGCTGAGGGACAGCGCCCAGGCCCAGAGTTCAGGCCCCACGACCAGACCCCCCCCCCAAAAAAAAAAAAAGATTCTATCTGATTGGACATTGCCCTGTATAGGTCCTTTAGCATCCAGAACATCCCATCTGATACTATGTCCTGAGATTTCTAATTTGTTTGCATGGTGTGTTAGATATCAGAATACCACTCATTTTCACACCTGCACAGCAGACAGAGTATAGCAGGTGCCTAAACTGATAATTCAGTGTTTCTCGGTTCAGTAATTATGCTGGAACTATGGTGATGAATAGTCTAAATACTAAAGAGCTACCCCTTTGGGGACCACAAGGACAGGTAGATAATTTTTCCATTGTCAGTAAAAGCATCTTTTCAGCATTGCACCTGCTAAGATATGAGATGCTCATCATATTCTGAATTTTTGTTTGAAATATTTCTGCAAAAAGAAACCCTTGACGGGAAAGTCTAAAAACTAGTGCATGTAAAGTAGAAGCCCAGTAATATAGGAACAGTTCCTGTGCTACTTTTTTTTCTAAGAAGTCAAGAAAGCAGAGTAAAAGAGAAATGAAGAAACATCACTTGATCCCTTGGTGGTAAACATCATACTAAAATGGATCTCCCTAGTGTGGATGTGGAAGACTGCAAATGCAGAGGGCCTCCATTTCTTAGAGGCCCTAAGGAGCCAAAGGGAGCACAGAGTAAATGGGGTATTCAGAGGCCAAAGTTAGGAAGAGAGGACATGGTTCAGCACCAAAGAGCATAGTTCAGTTGACAGCATATAGGAAAAGCATAGAAGTGAGGATTGGTTCTCTGAAACTTACAGACCACTGTAACCTTAGCTTAACCAAGCTTTTTTTTTTTTAATCTCTACATACTAGATATGGGTGTCCCTGGTTCTCTGTAAACATTCTCCAAGGAAGATTAAATTTCTATACATCTTGAAAAGACGGTTGTAGGACTAGTCTTTATGTCCTATAACTCAATTTTGTTTACAGAAGGAAATAGGATGGAATCAAAGCCTTGGTCCATTGTTACTCTAGAACGCTGCATTGTTACTCCAGAATGTTTCACAGCTCACAGTAAATACTAGAATTTTTAGAATATTTTGTGGGCTGGGTTAATTGCTTAGCTTCTCTGAGCTTCAGTTTTTCTTCATCTCTAAATGAGGACAGTTATACTACCCAAAAGGTAGTCATAAGGAATGAATGAGAATATATGTGTATAATGCTTCGAGGATTGAAGACCATTAAGTAAAAAGCAATGTATGTGTTATCCATTAGTGCTATAGCAGAGAGTGGCATTAGATCAAAACTTGGATTAGTATAATCAGAGAACCTATTTTGAGACTATATGGAAAGCCATTTTTGGAAACTACTTCCAGACAAGCAGGAGAGCACACACCTGTGTAATCCCATCAGTAGAAAGGTTCCAAACTGTGATCTGCCAGATCTTAGCCCCTGAAGAGCTAGGATTACAAGTGTGAGCCACCACTAGCACCTGGTTCTAACACAGTCACCTTTTGAAGGGATACTTATTGCCCAGACATTAACAATAGCTTTATTGAAGAGCAATCTGATTATATGAACCAAAAGTCTAAAAACATCCAGTTACTTCTGTTAGCTGAATAGCAGAAAGTAAAACATGGATGGAGAAACCATGATCCTCATATCTCAGCCTCCTAGTGCTGAGGAAGGAGAAACAAGAATAGTTCGAGGCCATCCAGAGCTACATAGAAAGTTTTTGGAGGCCAGCCTAGACTATATAGCAAGACCTCATCTTAAAAACAAGAGACAATAAACAAGACATACAGTTGCATTTGTCAGAATTTGATATCATTTTTTAAAGTTTTTGTTTGTTTGTTTGTTTTGGGTCTGGTTGTGGGGCCTGAACTCGGCCTGGGTCCTGTCCCTCAGCTCTTCAGCTCAAGGCTAGCACTCTACCACTTGAGCCACAGCGCCACTTCTGGCTTTTTTTATTTTTGCTTATGTGGTGCTGAGGAATCGAACCGAGGGCCTCACGCATGCAAGGAAAGTGCTCTACCACTGAGCCACCTTCCCAGCCCAATTTTTTTTAAGTTTTTTTATAAGTAAATCATATAGGCACAGAAATCCAGTTTCCAGTTTTATTCTAGCATTTAAAGCTATGAGGAACTAGCTTTTGAGTAGGAATGTAAGAGACTCTCCAGGAATGAATTGCATGAACTTTAGTTTGTAAAATCATTGATATGTATGTATATGTGTATGTATTTTGCAATGCTGGAGTTTGCGGCATACTATGCACACACTATGGTACTGACCTATATACATCCTGGCCCTAAGTTTTGGTTTTTACTTGCTCAAAAATCTTTTGTTTGTTTTCTGGAGTCGAGTCATACTCTGGATAAGTGGATTTAATAGTATAATTGAGTTTTTAAAAAAGTTTTATTACAGATTTGTGTGTGTGTCTGTGTGTGTGTTTATGTACATGTGTGAATGTGCTGGTACTGGGATTTGCATTCAGGGCTTCATGCTCTCCCTTAGTTGTTTCACTCAAGGTTGATGTTCCACCACTTACACCCCAGCTCCACTTCTGTTTCTTCTGGGTAACTGGAAATAAGAGTCTCTGATACTTTCCTGCCTGGCTGGCTTCAAACCATGACCCTCAGATCTCAGTCCCTTAAGTAACTGGATTAGAAGCATGCAGTTGTACTTGGCAGATTGTTGTTGTTTGTAATGGTGGACTAAAGTGAAAAGCTTCATAAAGATAGCCAAGCCTTTTTGCCTTTCAGGACCTATTCTTGAGAGTGAGGAAGCAAGGTCCAAAAGAAGAACATGTTTGCCTGCACCAGGCCCCAACACCAGCAACATCAGCCTGTGGAACATTCTGAGAAACAACATAGGCAAGGACTTGTCCAAAGTGGCCATGCCGGTGGAGCTGAACGAGCCCCTAAACACACTACAGAGGCTCTGCGAGGAGCTGGAGTACAGTGAGCTGCTGGACAAGGCTGCCCAGATTCCCAGCCCCTTGGAAAGAATGGTAAGGATTAGACCTGCCAGTGGCATTGTCCATCCTGGTCCTGAGCCACAAGCCTGTTTATCTGGGCCTACCAGAGCCCAGATGGATGGACAGACTGGTTTTCATTTTTTATTGCCCTCTGGTTCTCATTTTTTATTGCTCTCAAGAGAGGATCATGTCTCAGAGACATTCCTTCCTCTTGACCTGGCTGTTTCTAGTCACCTTGTTGGGATCTAGTCAGCATGGGAAAGAAAACTCTGGGCTTGGGGTAGGTCTGCTCTGTGATTTTATGGTACCTCTTTTTCCAGAAGCATCCATCTTATGGTTCTCTAGGCCAGTTTGGAAAACATGGCTTTAGGGCTGTCTGCATGTTTATTTTTACTACCCTGGGTGCACAGAATTTAATATCGTAAGCTGTTTTTCTCATCCAGTGTAAATTTCCCTTGAGAATGTTGTGGGCTATTTCTGGAATTGTCCCATTATTTTTTAGGATTTTGGAAAATAAACTCAAAGAGATTTTTACACCAGAGAGATTCTTCCCCTCCCCTCCTCATTATATAAAGTAGGGGAAAAGTCTGTTCTTACACATTGAAAGATCCCATTGTGAAAACTGTTCTTTTGTTTTCCCAATTGTAGTCTGGTACACAGTAACATTGTGCTCTGCCTGAGATGCTGGGACTTCAGTCTTCTCTAGGTATAGACACTTCCCTGGGTCATCTCTGATTGGCCAACTTAGAACTGGAGCACCCCTCAGCTTCACAGACCTAAGCTGATTCATCTTCCCATTGGTAGAGGACACAGTCATTTAAAGATGCTGTATGTAGCCAAGTGCTGCTATCCCATGCCTGTAATCCTAACTACTTAGAAGGCTGAGTTCTGAGAATTAAGGGTCAGAGCCAGCTGGGGCAGACAAATCTGAGAAATCTTTACCTCCAATTAACCTGCAAAAAGCTAAAGTGGAGATATGGCTCAATTGGTATAACACTAGCCTTGAACAGAAAAATTCAAGTGAGAGCCTGAAGCCCTAAGTTCAAGCCCCAGTGCCAGCACAAAAGACAAAGAAAGAATAAAAGAAAGAGAGGGAGGAAGGGAGGAAGGAAGGTAGGTAGATGATATATATTCTTTGGTTTTAATCTTCATGGAAACTTCATTACTTAAGAGATCTAAAGACTAAAGGGAAATCTCTCAACCACTGACTCGAAGAAACATCTAGTCCTACTTAGTCTCCCATAGAAGACTTTCTTTCTTGACAGTTACAATAATGACAAAACAGAAAAACAAGCTGTTTTTAAAAATCTTTGTTCTTCTTCCTCAGAGAATTTCTGCTGGGATTTCAAGTCAACATTTGTAGGCAGGTTTTTAAAGACAATGATTGACTTGGAACAGAGAAGTATTGTTAAAGGAATTTTGTTCCCACAGCGTTTTGGCTACCTCTAGGATGTTCTGCGATGATCAGATCGCTTAGATTTAACTATGTCATTGACTGAAGCAGAAGTATGAGGACAGGCTTCCCAGCTAGCACCTTACTGAACATAGCACCTTTAGTGTGTTGCAGGTTACCTCCTGTAGAAGTCCCCCTGCTGTGCTATGAACCCAAAAGGAGGTGCTTCATCCGCCCCCTCCCATTTCCTTCTTCCCCCAGCATAATGAATGAATTGTATTTTCAGTTATGATGGTGATTCAGAACTGTTCAGCATTTCATATAGACTGCGATCTTACTGTCTCACAGGTTACAGACAAGAAAGTGTATCCTTTTGATAAATCCAAGTCAGTAAAAGATGCACATAATTCCTAACTTCCTGGCCTAACTACATTGCCAGAAATTTAGGACAGCTGAATTGACCTCAGTCCTTCCCCTCCCCTCCCCTCCCCTTCCCTCCCTTCCTTGCATCTGACAAGAAAAGAATTCAGGCAAGCTCTGAATACAAGTAAAGATGATAGGTAAGTTTATTAGAAAAGAAACGTGGCAGAGGAAGAGAGCATGTGGTATAGATGTGCCATAGAAAGATATCACTTCAGCCCATCTCTGCCATCTTGTGCTATATCTTCTGATTACGGAATATGGCCTTAAGTTTAATAGGGAAAATTTGGAGTCCTTGAAGATGATTTTCTGATTGATGGGTCTCCTTTCTCTGCAGATGCAGAGAAAATAACATATACTCAGGTTTTGACACTGTAGGCAGTCATGAATGGGATTGACCAAAATGTAGTAAATTGACTTTTGTGTGTGTGTGATGTTGGGCTTGTGCATGCGAAGGACACTGTACCACTGCTATACCCCCCGCCCAAGAATTGATTTTGATAAACTATCCAGCAGCTCTCAAGCAATCTACAATGTGAGGTGGCAAGCTGGGTCCTATTGCAGGCAACACTCAACTGTTTTGCAAAAGGTTAACACAGAAGGTTATATGACGGCGAGAGTTTTTCTTTTTTTTTAAGGCACTTAGGCTTTCCTTCAGTATAAGAAACTTTTCAAAGTATGCTGGGAAGAAAGAAAAGTTGAGAAAGGGAAACCCTGCTCATACTACTTTTAGCCAAACTGAAATAAATAAGTTTTCTTAAAAAGATGTATCTCTTTAAATGGAGAATATGATAAAAAAAATTCTGGCATCTTGATCAGGAGGGACAGTAAAAGATTTTTCTCATTTCTGCATGAATATATAGTTATCACTGTGGTCCTCCCCTTTTAGTTTTTTTTTCTTCCCCAAAAAGCAGAAGATTAAACCACTGTAGCCAGTGGTTGTTTCTTAGTCAGAAAACTACTCTCACAAATTTTCTGGACTCAAAATGATTTGTTAGGTTTCTACTTTTTAGGTGCCTATTTTTGCCAGTCCTAGGCTTGAACTCAGGGCCTGGGCTCTGTTCCTGAGCCTCTTTGTGCTCACTAGTGATCTATCACTTTAGCCACAGTGCTACTTCTGTTTTCATCTGAGTAGTTTATTGAAGGTAAGAGTCTCATGGACTTTGCTTCACAGGCTGGCTTCAAACTGTCATCCTCGGATCTCAGCTCCTGAGTAGCTAGGTTTACAGGCATGAGCCACCAGTGCTCTGCTTTTTAGGCTTTTTGAATGGTTTATGCCAGGTACCAGTGGTTCATACTTGTGTTCCTAGCTGTTCAGAAGGAGATCTGAGGATCAAGGCTCAAAGCCAGCTCAGGTACAGAAGTCCTTGAGATTCTTATCTCCAGTTAACCAGCAAAAAGGTGGAAGTAGAGGTGTGTCTCAAGTGATAGAGCACCTCCTTGATCAAGAAAGCTAGGCAAGAGCATGAGGTCCTGAATTCAAGCCACAGAACTGGCACAAAACCAAAACAACCAACCTTAGGATGCATCCTCCTGAGTTTCAGGGAAAGTTTAGCTTCTTCTTATACTCTTTCTCTCCCCTGAAATCCTAATGTCAGGGTTCCCAAGTAGTATGAAGCTGGAAGTTTCCAAACCCACCTCACTATGCCATGAATATTATCATCTTAATTGTCCTCTGAGCTTTTAGGTATCAAAGTAAATGGCAGCGGTGGCTTATGCCTGTAATCCTGCTACTCAGGAGGCTGAGATCTGAGGATCATGGTTGGAAGCCAGCCCTAGCAGAAAAGTCCCTGTGAGACGCTTATGCCCAGTTAACCACTCAAAAACCAGAAGTGGAGCTATGGCTCAAAGTGATAGACCACTAGCCTTGAGCAAAAGAGCTCAGAGGCAGCACCCAGGCCCTGAGTTCAAGCCCCACAACCAACAACAACAACAAAAAGTAAATGGCCACTTTAAAATTGTTAATTGATTTGCTTCTGGGTATTAGTTGGGCTTTTTGCTACTGTGACAAAATACTTGATAGGATAATTTGAACAAAAGAATTCTTTATTTTGACTCATGGTTGCAGAAATTATAGTCCATAGATTTCTGTTGAGGCACAACATCATGGCGGTAAGAACATGTGGCTGAAGCTTGTAGTGGTCAGAGACAGAGAGAAAAAACACAGAGACGTCCAAAACAAGATTCAGACCCCAAGGACATGCCCACTTAGCCCCTCAGTGCCAACTTCCTCCAGCCAAGTCCCCATATTTTAAAGTTTCCAGAGTCACTAGCTAAGGAGAAATCTTTCAATAATGAGCCTGTGGGGGGTCATGCATATTCAAGCTATAACATTGGGCCAAAATGAACATTATTTTAACCTATAACTTCAGTTTTCTTTACACCTAAGACAAATCTTTGGCTTTCTGAGATAAAAAGTAGCAAGACAAATTGAGAAATATTTGATTTCATTTCTTTGTAGAAAACAAGTTTCTTGGTGACATAGAAGTAGCCAGGTTCTTTTCTTTCCATCTACAGGTATACGTAGCAGCCTTTGCCATCTCTGCCTATGCATCTAGCTACTTCCGAGCTGGGAGCAAGCCGTTTAATCCTGTCCTTGGAGAGACATATGAATGTATTCGAGAGGACAAGGGCTTCCAGTTTTTCTCAGAACAGGTGAGTGTGCTCCCTTTGTATTTGGAGGAGTTGCTTGTGCCTGCAGCTTTAATGTGCTTCTAAAATATTTATTTCTCCCTTTCACTGGCTTCAAAGACTGGAGATAATTACAGTGCTTAGAAACATAAAGCCAGGGATCTATTTTCCTTCCACTGAAACTTACCACCATCCCTTGAGTACTTGGTTGGCCACATGCATGAATGCTGCTCTTCCTCTTTAAAATCATTAGTGAAAAGAATTTTCAGAGCATGAAATGTTTTCCCAAAATGCAACTCCAGATTTGAAAGTGTATCCCTAAGTGTTGCCATCAGCATTCCAGAGCCTGGTGCCCCTCAGAATGGGTAGCACCAAGTCAGTGCTCTGTTCTTAGTTCTAGTCTGAGAGGAATCACTCGTTCATATATTTATTCATTCTAATCAACTGTTATTTAATGAATGTATACCCTGAGCCTGGCACTGTTCTGGTGCTGAGGCAGAGCAGTGGAAGGGGAGTCTAGAGACTAGCCAAGAATTTCTTATATTTGGGAAAAAGTGATTTTGGAGTGGTGGGATAGAGAAGGCAGGAAGGGAATAAATATAATCAAAGTATATTGTATACTTGTAGGCTAATGTCATAGTGAAAAGCCATGGTTTTGTATTATTAATTATGCTAAAAAGAAAAATAAGAAGGCAGGGGATTGAAACTGGGAGGATTTAAAAACATCTTCATTTTGTGATGTTAGTCTAGGCAAGGTGTGGTGGTGCATACCTGTAATTCTAGTTATTTGGGAGGCAGAGGTATGAGGACTGACACCTGAGGCCTACCATGGCATAGTTAGTGCATAAGACCTTTATCTGAAAAACAAACTGTAAAAAGTAAGAACTGGCACATTGCTCAAGTGGTAGAGCATTGTCTTCAGGTAAAAATCTCTGAGTTCAAGCCCCAGTACCTAAATAAATAAATAGATAAATAAATAAAAATGCTTCTTCACCTTTATAAAATTCAAGGTAGATTTCCTGTTCTGAAATGGCTTGGGACTTAGGGGCTTATAAACATTTCTCAAGATTCTATAAAATACAACTGAGTGTGGGAGAAGATTGAAAGCAAAGGAGCAAGAGACCACCTCCTGATTCTGAAATCATGGTATATTATGATTGTATGGGGTTAGGTAGGTGGCTACGTTTGCCAAAAATAAAACTACATGACTTTGTATATATAAATTACACTTCCATAAAGCTGATTTTTTTTTGTGGGGCTTGAACTCCGGGCCTGGGCGCTGTCCCTTAGCTCTTCAGCTCAAGGCTAGTGTTCTACCATTTGAGCCACAGTGCCACTTCTGGCTTTTTCTGCTTATGGGGTGCTGAGGAATCAAGCCCAGGGCCTTATTCATGCAAAGCAAGCACTCTACCACTGAGCCACCTTCCTAGCCCAAAGCTGATTTTAATTTTTAATTTTTTTGTTTTTTATTGTAAAAATAATGTACAGAGGGATTACAGTTACAGGAGTAAGGTAGTAAGTACACTTCCTATTGCGCATTGTTACTTCCTCCTTTGTTTTCCCCCTACCAACCCTTCCCTCCCCACCTCCCCAACTCCTCCCTCCCCTACCACCAAGTTGTAAAGTTTGTTTTCTACAGTGTCTTGTACATCTCATTATTATAATGGATCAACCTGTATCCTTATTTCAGCATTTTGTTATTTCCCTTCCCCTCCCCAAATTAGAGAAATGTATATACAAGATGCAGGGCACCAACATCAACTACAGTGAAAACAGAGGTTATACCATGGGGGAAGAACATACAAGAGAAACAAAAAAATCACCTAGTACATTTTAGATACATTAAAAACGGTAGAAAGAAAAAACAAGTTGTGTTCCTATCTTGGGGTTCATTTCACTTAACATCATCGTATGTGGTCATATGTACATAGCATTTGACCTTTTCTGCTTGACTCAGACATACACTAGTTACTGCAGATAAGGGAAACCGTGGGACCTATGTTTCTTTGGGCCTGGCTTACTTCACTTAACATAATTTTTTCCAAGTCTTTCTCTTTCCTAACAAATTGGGCAATGCCATAAACCAGCAAAAGGCCATAGGTAGAGGCAAGGCTCAAGTGGTAGAGTACCAGCCTTGAGTGGAAAAACCAGGCAAGAGCATAAGGTCCTGAGTTTGTCTCAGTACCTGCAATCAATCAATCAATAAGTAAGCAAATAAGTTGTCCATGACCATGTATACACCTCTTGTGACTTTGTGACCATTAAATGTGACTTTCTCTTCAGAGCACCTGGAGCTAGGGGCAAATGTTCTTTCTAAGTTTCCTGGCATTGCTGGTTCATGGCAGTATAGTTTGCAGTACAGCAGAATGTGAAGGACATCCAGAATGTCTACCAAAACAAGGAATTGTTATTTGGTGAAATTAGAACGTATACATTAAGAAAGTGAAAGTCTTGCCGGGCGCTGGTGGCTCACGCCTGTAATCCTAGCTACTCAGGAGGCTGAGATCTGAGGATTGCGGTTCAAAGCCAATCTCCAATAAACCACCAAAAAACCGGAAGTGGCGCTGTAGCTCAAGTGGTAGAGTGCTCGCCTTGAGCTGAAGAGCTGAGGGACAGCGCCCAGGCCCAGAGTTCAAGCCCC